AATTCAGAGTAACTATTTTGCTGAGATCATTTGGCAGGGAAGAAAATTAATAATGGCTATGTTCGGTCCTGCTTCAGACTGGTGGTTTTTGTGTAGGGAGTTGGTAGCTGGGCTGGGCTACTTTGCCTGCAGCTGATTCTTGGGAGTTCATTTCTCCGCTGATTCTTAGGTTTAAGCAATACATTAGTAGTACTAGTAATTAGTACTCTCATTAGTAGGCTTATGCGGTCCGAACAGACGGAAGAAACTCTGAATCTGTTTATTAGTGATCACGGTACTATATGGTTTAATATTACGGTACTTATCTAAGACTAAAAAGATGAATTAAATTATTCGTCAAGTTTGGCTTGATAAGAGTGCCGAAGGATGATGAATCGGATTATTCAATACTTGAATTGGATTTGATTTGTTAAAAATTTGTTTGAATTTGGTTCGTCAATCAATCAAATCAAATTTGAATAATATTTTATGTTCAAAGACATTCAAATTCAATAAAAATTTCGTTTGAATTCAATTTGATAAATAAACAAATTAAGTTTGAATAAAATTTTAAATTTATTAAAATGATCAAATAAATTTTAAACACCCAAGTGTTCGACTTGATTCCGCTTATTTATACAGCTAATTTCATTGATAAACCATCATGGTCGATGCGAGTTTAACAACAAAATATTTTTCTTTTTCAAGTGAGAAGATTTCTTTTTGTCCCGCCAAATGAAGAAAAATTGCAAGGAATATGCCCTCTCAATTAAATGACTGCACTGCACAAATCGTTGTTCAGCAGTGGTACTTTTTTTTTTTTTTTTTTTTTTTAAATGTTTCAGCAGTGGTACTTGAATAAGTACTTGAAAAATCTTGCAAACTTATACAGAGTGAGAGGCCAGAGGCACATGTAAAATGTAATGTCTAGGGGTAGGGTGGGGAGTGGATAATTGGGCTGAGGGCGGAGGCAGAGGGGCGGCTATGTATTGCTAGCGTACGGAGGGGAGGAGAGTAGGTAGCAACACTAGCATGGGAATGGGGAAGATAGAGGCATGTGGTCGGTTGGTGATTGCGGGACCTCCTGAATAGACAACTCCCATGCGCCATTACGATTCCACGTGGCTTCATTCAGGATCCGAACATTGAAGTCTCTTCTTTATTTTTGGATTTATATATACGATGTCAAGTATCAGAATAATAATAGAATTAATCTTTTCTATTTTGGTAGTATATATATTATCAATATTTGATGAATGATAGATATATAAAATTTAAATTTAAAATTTAATTTCTGCACTCATGCCATGAATTTAATGATGATAGTATATATACTGTCAGTATATATAAAATTTACTCATAATAGGATATTAAACTTTTCTACGCTGATAGTACATACACTATAAGAGCCGGATAAATGACAGCTATGTAAAATTTAAATTTGAAATTTAATTTGTATACACATGTCATGAATCAAGCGATGATGATAGTGTATATATTAGATTTACTACTACTAATAATAATAATAATAGAAGTAGAGAGAAGTTTTTCGATTTTGACTCCTAATAAAGTAGGAGATCTTCTCCATGGAGCTAATTGGGCTTAATCCAATTGCTCATGCAAGTGCAATTACAGAAATAGCTTAAGATTGCACAACTTTTTTGGGAGAAATTTGACCTCTCCTAAATTCATATGCAGCACAAAAATTACACACTAATAATCAGGGACTACAGCTGGACTGGAACGGAGTGTTATCCCCTCCCAATGGCCGGTGATATTCTGCTACAACCACAACAATTTTAATCTAAATGGACTGTAATACATACATATATATATATATATATATATATATATATATATATATATATATGTGTGTGTATATCCTTTCTAACTCACAATAAAAGGCTGTCCTACTAATTTTTCTGTAGTTCTACATCATTTTTTCGGAGTTGGAGGATTGGATAGTTAAGTCCCCAGATTTATCTCATGAGTTGTCGGTTTTTGGAGTTAAATCTGATATTAAGTTTAATTAATTAATTTTAAAAGTTTGAAAAAAAAAATTGGGAAATTTTACCCTTTGGGTGTGAAATGTTGCTATGACAGCTAAAAGTCAAAAACACGCTACTCTGCCAATAACGTCGGCCCCTCCTAAGTCCTAACTCTCCATGCGTGAAAACTGAAAAATTCGTTCTTTCGGATGCATTTAGGAGAAGGTTCTGCTGTTGCTAAAAATAAATAATAATAATTTGCTCTTAAAGAAGAAAAAGGTGAGATTTATATCTTATTTTTTAATAAGTGAAAGGTTTTGAATCTAGAATTTTTTATTTATAATTTTTCTTATTTTATCATCTAATTTAATCCTCTCCCAAGATTTATTCCTTTATGTTAATGAGCTAGCAATTTTTTCCTTTTCTTAAAGAAAAGGGATGATGTTAATGGAAATTTTTTAATAAAAAAATGGAATGATTTTAATGGATTTTTTAAAGAAAAAGGAATGATTTTTGTTTCAAATAAGAAAAAGAAAAAGGAACGATTTTAATGGAATTTTCTGTGTCGATGGTCACGTGAGTTCCGTGATCAATTGGGTAGGCCCAGGGACGGCCTGTCGTCTGCACACATCACTGAATCAGCATATAGCTCGTACATATAGTGAAGAGCAACTGGCAAAAACAATAATGGATTAGCGTTTGGACTCCTCTTTATTTCTCTCAAATTATTTTATTCACTTTTTTTTAATAATTAAAATAGTCCGTATTCTGATGTTGATTAGTAAATCAACATGCCACTAGAACATGAAATTCAAATGAGAATACTTGATTTGCACAAAATAAACGGTAACATTTAGTCAATTTAATTTTGTATTTTTGTGTATAACTAAATTAACCAACACATTGGATAGAACAAATTTCTCAAATTAAATATAAAAGGAGAACGGTACAAAATAACTAACGCATCAATTCCTCAATAAAGATCCTGTGTTTAAGTTCCGCTATTGTGTAAAATAGGCAGTTTGTAGAAATTTTCATAAGCAATTTGTGATTTCGGAAAGATGTCCATCGATGAGTAAGATTGCAAACAAATCGAATCGAGCCGAGTCTCAACTTAATTTTTATCAATCTCGAGCTCGACGACAAGCTTTGAATGTAAAACTCGAGTTCGAATTCAATTCAAATTGGAGTGAAATCGAATTCGAATTTTAAAAATAAAAAATAAAAATTTAATTTATTATAATAATTTTTAAAAATTAATAAAATATATTATTTTATTATTAAAATATGAATATATAAAATCGAATCCACTTGTAAACTAGTATCATTAAGACCCTGTTTGGCACTCGAATTTTTTATCAAATTTGTCTGTTACAAGTTTTTTAAAAATTTTAACTACAGTAATCTCAAAAAAAAATTTCAAAGCTTTTAAATTATACTCTTTAAAATATTCAAAACTTTACATATTTCAAAAAAATTTTTTAAAAGCTTCTATAGGAAATTACAGTAAAATCTAAGACAAATATCCTAAAAATTCATTTGCCAAGCGAGGCCTAAGTTTAAGTTGGAATGTTGAGTGGAGCTGTTTGCGATCCGCACGACTCATGTGATGTGCAGCTCTGCTGTTGATGAGCACAGTGGAAATCTTTATCGCAGGAGAAAGAAAACTGCAGTGTGGTTGGGGGGTGAGGGGGGGGGGGTGGGGACTTGGAGATAGGGAAGGAATGAGAAGGGCGGGAGGGTAGTTTGATGGTGATGTGATGTGTGCGAACTTAAAATGATGGATGACGTGCGATGCAATTGTAGTGCAGGGGAAGTGGGGGGGGGGGGTTCTGATGGTCCAGTCGTCTAGAGACTTATGCGTGAGTGGAGACTGGAGAGTGGGACCAGTTTGTATTGGTTGGAAGTTACTGGCTCATGTAGGTCTATAGACTTCTGCTGCATGTGCACAAGTGGGTCTCTTTCTTTGACATAGACCGCAGAGAGAGAGAGAGAGAGAGAGAACCAACCCCCCCCCCCCTCCCCTAAAAGCAAAAACTCTGGCTGCTGCGTTTGTTATGTTGCAGTTCTATATTTACTGCGGATAAGGACGCACCCTGCGTTCGTATCTGATTAATTTAAGAAAAATTATATTAATTATTTTTACATGAAATGAATCAGTGCGCATAAAACATTCATAACGAATTTATGCATTGGATTCCATTTACCTCATGGTTGGGAACTAATGTTTTGATCTTTTAAATGTTTTTGAATAAAATTTTAATGAATTTGGTAGTTACAAATAATTAATATTTGTGAGTAATTACAGGCGAACGAAGCGAGTTTCGTAGTATCTTTCGAGTAATGTAGTACAGTAACGTATTAATTTACTGTTGGATGCATAAAAGATTGTGATTTTTAGAATTTAAATTATTAAATAATATGACAAGATTTTATTAAATTATAATCACATGCACGATACTCAAAAGAAATACTAGTAGAATTTCTCGATAGGTATGGCAGCATATAATCTTCCAATTACTCAATTACTTTAAACACATGCACGATACTCAAAACGCTTACGCCAAAACTCAATTACTTGCTGTCTTTTTTTTTTTTTTTTTTTTGTAATTGAGGGCTATCCTATAGAGATACTCAAATTTAATTTAAACATAATTGATTCTTCCAATTAAAACTATTTATTTGTTTTCTCGAGCAATTCTTTCTTTCTCCTTCTTCTTCTTTTTATAATCAAATCAATAATAAATACAAACTTACAACATTATAATGAATAATTCACAAATACTAGGATGAATATTAATATATAATTAAATTAAAAATAAATCTTATATATACTGACAATATATACACTACCATCATCACGGTTGCTGGACTCAAAAACTCTAATTCATATTGCCTCAACTTTGGTTGTTTTATCACTTCAACCAAAGAAAGACGTTGGCTAACTTGGGCCGACGTAGACTTGGGCCTTGAATTTGGTGGTCTCCAGCTTCTGTAGAGATTAAGAAAGAAAAAAAATCGACGACGCACCTTGCATAACAACTGGGCAAAAGAGATAAATTATTATTGAGCCCAATATGCTATAAAAGCTCAAAACCCTAAACCAACGAAACCTGCAGTAGCGTTTTATTTATCTTTTCGCACCGTCTATTCAGATCTCAGCTTGCCCAGCTCTCCCTCCGGCAACCCAGTAGTAAGCTTCTTTTTAAAATACGCAGCTCATGTATAAATCTCTAATTATGAATGTTTGCACATGTTTTTATAGTTTTGAACGAAGAGTCCAACAATAGATTGGATAAATAAACAAATTATATGTCAGCTTTTTTGTTTTTTTTTACGGTTGAATTTGTCTGATATCATTCGTAATTCATGATTTTACTGAGTATTTTATGTGGTAATATTGGGATTTTTAGTTGGAATAATTAATATGTATTGTGGATTTCTGATAAAAAAAAAAGGGCAAATATTTCGAGAAAATAAGGTAAAGTCTGTAAAAAAGATGGATAATTCTGTTTTTATTTAGTTAGAACCCTTGAATTTGGATTTCCAGCAATAGCACTGTTTTTGGTCGAGGGATGTTTGTATACAAAGATGCTAAATTAGGAATTATTAGCAGTGGTGTTTCATCGGATGTCTGCTAGTGGGATTTGCTCGTAGCTTTAGCTGAAATTGTTGTCAGAATAGCAAGATGCAAATCGAAGGAAGAAGTGATAAGAGTTTCACGATATTCACCAATGGGCAAAGTATTTTGAATTGATGTTATACTTCTGTTCACAACCATTTATTGGGGAAAAAAGATTTAGAAAGCTCAAAATTCCAATTTTTCCCAAATTGAATTGTAATTTTCTTTCGCTTGAGCTACCTAATATTTCTTGTTTCATCCTTGGTAATCAAATGTCCTACCTAGATGCCCTTCTCTTTTGTTGATGTAATCATGTTTGGGAATTTCAAAGGAAAAAAATGTTAAATCTGTGCTTTTGGTTGCTTCCAGAGAGATCTACATTGAATTCTTCCAATGGCTGTCGCATTCTACAACCTAACCTCAGAATCTGGCCTTAAGAAGCTTGATGAGTACCTTCTGACACGTAGTTATATCACAGGGTAAGTTGTTCTCTAGCTGCATGTAGAGCAGTCTTTATTTGACTCTGGCTAATGTCTCCGAGTTGTCGCCTTAGGTACCAGGCTTCTAAGGATGATATTACTGTGTATTCTGCTCTTTCAAAACCACCCTCATCTGAATTTGTGAATGTATCTCGGTGGTTCAAACACATTGATGCACTTTTAAGAATTTCGTAAGTTCTAATTGCTTCTTAGTATTGATTATGTACCCTGAACTTGGATATTTCTTTTTGGACTAATGTTGTTTGTCATTTATCATAGTTTAAGTTTCCTTTAAACATTCTGCAACCTGTTATTTTACAGTGGTATATCTGGGGAAGGTTGCGGTGTCACTATTGAAGGATTTGCTGCAGCCACAGAGGAAGCTGTTGCTACTCCTGCTGCTGCTGATACAAAGGTGTATTAGGAATTTAATTCGTGTGTTGAGTTCAATATTAGTTCCTGTTTCTTTTTGTTTCTTGATCTTCTCCTTATTTATCATGTTCAAAAGTTTTTTATGACAACGAATAACCAAGAAAATGTGGACTGTGAAGTGCCTCTTCCATGGATATGATACAAATGCACTGAAATCAAAAATTGATTCACAGGCAGCAGCTGCTGTGGATGATGACGATGATGATGTAGATCTATTTGGTGAAGAAACTGAAGAGGAAAAGAAGGCTGCCGAAGAACGTGCTGCTGCCGTAAAGGCATCTGGCAAAAAGAAAGAGTGTGAGTGTGACTATTCCCCTTGATATATGTGGCTAGGTCATCATCTAAGAGATTGAACCAGGACATGCTTTTATCTAGTTTGTATGTTATGTATTTGCTGTGTTTTTGAATGCTAGTTTTCACTGGTGTGGATTAGACTGCAAGAAGTTTGTCCACAAGGTCTTATTGCAGCTGGAGGTGTTTTTTTGGTGTGACGACCTATTTGATTAATCCTTGATCTTGTTTTCCTGTTCCAATTTTAATGGTTCATTCCCTTGCTGTCTTTTCAGCGGGGAAGTCTTCAGTTTTGATGGATGTCAAGCCATGGGATGATGAGACTGACATGAAAAAGCTTGAGGAAGCTGTCCGAAATGTTAAAATGGAGGGATTGCTTTGGGGAGCTTGTATGATTCTCTTCTTTTTTGGACATTGTTTTTATACTGAATATAGCAGACTTTTGGAACTGGTATCTTATTAATTGTGAGTTACACTTACTGGTACTTAAATAAGGACCTCTAAATCCCAACTTCTGTCTAGTGTTTTGAAGTTTACTTTTTCTATCCTTTTGTGTTCTGTGGGTGCCACTGTTTTGATAAAAGCAAGTATGATATCAAGTATAATGATTCCGTCTGACTTCTACCTTTTCTGACTTGTAGCTAAGCTGGTACCTGTTGGATATGGCATAAAAAAATTACAAATCATGCTTACCATTGTGGATGACCTGGTGTCAGTTGATGATCTTATTGAGAACTATCTTACAGTTGAACCATGTGATGAGTTTGTCCAGAGCTGCGATATTGTGGCTTTCAACAAGATATGTGAGTTCTGCTTCTGATGCTGCTCTTACTTATTTATTTATTTATTTTTGGTGGTGGTGGTTGTTATTGTAGAATCGGGAATGTTTTATTGATTGACATTATATTGAAGTGCATTTGTTTGCTGCTATTCTCCTTTGACTCAAGCTAATGGCAATATGCTGTATTCTTCTCACAGAAATGTCTGAATCTTCTCGGCACGAAAACAGTTGTTGGAGGCGTAGCAGGCAGGAAGTTCCTATTGTTTGTATTCTGCTAAATTATAATGGTAGTTTGTGACTTTTGACATAATTGTCTAGCTTAAAGAATTTTGGGTTATTTTTGTTGTCAAAGACTACAGTCTAGATATGCTGTCACCTTTGAATTGAAATTTCAGAATTTTGCTTTATAAGATTACAAAAAAATATTTGTTTTGTGTTGAAATATCGGTTTAGTCTGCCGTGTCCTTTTTCTGCACGGATCAGCCTCATGCGCTTCGACTTGTTTACAGGCCCATTGCCTTTCAGCTGGTGTCTAAAATGACCCCCTTCGGATGTTTCCCAAGAAAGTAAAATCATACTCTGGATAATTTGCTCTCTTCTGACTCTTGCCTCTGTAAAGATTGCGTTGATTGTGAAGAGCTTCCAAGGAGGGGAATTTAGATCTTTACAGAAATTGCTAAACGGTTCGTAATTCATATAAACATGATTGCCTAATGGTATAACTAATTGAAAACATGATTGCCTAATGGTATAACTAATTGTCAATGGCTAAATCGTGGGTTATAACAAATCTTAATGACACGCACAGTTATTGTATTCAGCAACAAATTTTTAGTAAATCAGAGGGAACTGCTGTATTCCTTTTAAGCTATGAACTACTACTATAAATTAGCGTATTAGGGGACCAGAATAAGTAATGAAATTTCAAAGATCTAAATGAACTCTTTTTCTTTTTCTTTTTTTTTTTTCCTTCTGAACCTGAACTTCTCGGGCCTTCAATGTCTGGATTTGAAGGAAATCAGTTGACGAGTTGCATGATCAGGCAGCCTTAGATTTGAAGAAAATCAGAGTATACATTGCCTCAGTGGGTATACTATAAAAGTGACCAAAAAAAATTATAAAAGTATGTGGCCTTTCACACTTGACAGGGTATATTATTAAGTTGATATCTGGATCATGTGGTATTTGGTAAAGATTTTACAGGACGAGATTTACAACACTCTAAAAATTCGAACATGTAAAACACATCCTCCAACATCCCCACCTTTTGGGCTTTCTGTCAACTTCTGCCATTCTTATGGGACTTTCGTTCCATTCTGTTGCTAATCTGGTCAACCGACATTGATTCAATACAGATATCGTTAGTGATGCATATAATAAAATGTACATTCTACATTCTAATTGCATGAAATTTTCTGAGATTGGTTTTGAGTCAGGACTCAGCAACACAGCGAACGAGAGTTTTCTGGAGTTCAAGAGGGATGAAGAAGAAGAGGAGATGGAACTTACATGGGAAATGCAAAAGATCTCGTGCTGGCTGTGCTATTCGAGCGGACGGAGATGTTGTCAGAAAATGGTATCAACCCAGAGAACGTTAATCGACCAGAGGGAGTGCTTGCTGCAGAGAAGCTAGAGCTTCCAAGTTCTCGATGATGCCCTGCGGTATTTTCATTTTGACGTGATGATGATGATGCTAATAATGGTACTTTTGACATGCAATCCGCCGCCTCGCAGGTGCTTTCGGTGCTTTTGTCTTCGGTGGTGCTTTCGTCCTTGGCGTCCGTAATTGGTTGTGAATCAGAGTCATCTGTTATTCTTTGGGCTCCCAACTCAACCTCTGATCTTAGATCTACTCCATTGCAGTTTCTGCAATCTGCTTCCTTGCCAGCTGACCAAGTCTCCGCTATGATTGTTTCCGTCTTTGGATGCTCCTGAAAACCATTCCATGCAAGTCAGGTATATTCTTGGTGATCATGGTAGTCTGTAATTTATTAACAGCAACTTTTAACCTGCATTGCCTCGTAGAAATACTGGCATAAAAATGTAGGTGAACAAGATTGAGATTGATCGTCAAATTTTGATTGTCATGGAACTAATTAACCTGATAAATAGTATGGCAATGTGAAAATAGCTGACAACATTACTAGAGACCGAGCAATGGAATTCCATTTTAAAAATTGAACAGGGAAACATCAAAATGAGTAAACAACACATTTGCTCATAGACAATGATAAAGCCCTTTGGGGACTGGAGGTGTTACAGCAGAGTATTGATGTAGAATTTGTACCTGATGATTCTGTTGTTGATCTAGTCTAACATCTTCGCAATTAAACAACTGAGAAAGAGAGGGACCGGTGATCTGCTCAGTACTACTCAAATTTCGTATATCTGATAATTCCTTCTCTGAAGAAGAACAAGCCTCTGTTGAAATATGAGCAGTTTCACCAGAAACTGTTTTATCTTCCATCAGCAGCTTCTTGTCAGCATCACAAAGCTTGGCATCATCATGAATGCAATCATGGTTAGAGAAAGATTCTTCTGCCCCAGTTGAAATGCTAGTATATACCAACATTTCTTCAGAAACCTCTCTGCTGTTTCTGGCCAGCTCATACTTCAACAGGTTGGATATATTATTGTGGTCCAACTCACAGTTTTCCACACAACATTTGTCATGACAAGGCACTTCCCCATCCATACACAAACCCTTGAAGATCTGGCAACCATTTTCTTTCAGGAAAACAACCACTTCTGGTACTTCACACTCCATACATCTCAAATCTCCATACTCAGGATCTCTGCTTTCCAATTGCATATAGTAGTGTGAATTTGTAAGTTCCTCAAATCCCAAATCTGCTGCTGCCTGAAAAGTCACAAATTTAAAGGTGAATCATTTGGTTGGCTTAACATCTACAGTTGGCAGGAAAAGGAAGGCCTTTACCCACTGGACCTGATCTTTTATGCATCGAGTAGTTTGCATGACAATAACAAGTTTGCTTTTTTTCTTTTCTAGTCTTTAAATCAGATTAATTTTATTAAGCTTACTTTTCTCATCTTTGAAAGCTACAAGAAAGCTCAATTCTTCCAAGTCAAAATATTACGTTGCAGATCTACATTGAGTGCTCAAGTAAGATTTGACATTTACATGTTGCTTTCTACAGAAATGTAAGAAATTCCTTGTAGAAATCAAAGTGTGAATCTCAGAAAAATATCAAGCACTTATGACAGCTCATCCCTTGCGTACTTAATATGGGGGCTGCAAAAGTTTGAAGGTTCACAGCCACTGACATTGATAAAAACATCTATGGGACAACCTTTCTGGAAGGAAGATAAGAGTGTCAAAAGTGTCAAAAACCTTCCCGCTGGAAATCAAGTACTAATTGACTTTCGTTTTCATCAATTTCTTTTTCAGGAATTCAGAGGGCTCTATTCACCTAAGCAGAACTATAACAATCACGTTAGGCCTAATCAGACGGTCAAGAGGACGGATTTCACTTTCACATGTCTATCCTCCATATCTTGCCACGCATCCTTAATCCTTTGTGAAGATAGTCCGTGATAAATAATAAATCAGTCATCTCCCCATTTCTATTTCTCTGCTGTGAAATCCTGCATATGATCTATCTAAGTGATTTTTTAATTGGTGATGTTGATTAGTGCAAACTCCGAATCTCTTTTCTCAACACAATGTTCTTGAAAACAGCTCGTAGAAAGTCAAATCAGAAGGGTATCGATGTAGAAATCACAGATTTAACGACCCTTTTTTTCCTTCTTTTCATAGAGCAGATGCACATATATTCTGATCATACATAGTCAAACAGGCACAAGAACAACAGCAGATATGGGCTTGTACTCGAAGAACTTAGCAAGATAACAGCTTTATTAGAGAACTGACAAGTAGAGATCACAGAAATACATGCAGATGGATGGAGAAAGATCAAATGAATAAAAGCCGGTCTGTTCAAGGTGCTTTTTACTTACTATTTACGAAGTCTGCGATGAATTTCTTTCTGAGAGAAACCACTTAGTATGTGCTGAGCGCGACCAAATGCAGCTTGTGTACTATTCTGGGAGCTAGGAATACAAATAAAGTTAGCACTCTAGGAGTTATCACCCGCAAAATTCCACCGGACCACTGGTACACTCTGTTGTTAGTTACTGGCAAAAATCGTCATCCATCCGCCTTTTTAATTAACCTCTAAAAGGTGTAGGAAAAGGTGAGGAATCGCTCAAGTACCAGCAAGCAGAAAGTTGATATAAAGGTGAAAATTGGCAAAAATAAAAGCTATAAAGGGGGGAGAATACAATGCAAAAGCAACAAAAGTAGCTCAGACTATCAATGGTCGGCTATCCATTACAGTAATAAAACTTTAGGCAAATAAAACCATCAAAGGGAAACTCATGGGGCACCCCAATCCACCCCAAGTACAAAAGAAGGAGAAGAAAGAATTGGAAGGAAATGGAGGAATTCTTCGTTGACAGGTCTCAGCTGTCGCCATTGTCTCATCATTTAAGAAGTCATGACTTGATTGGGTAGAATACCTAACCTTTGATCAAATGTTTATAAGCATTGAATTCTTCTGCTATTGCTCCAAAAACAAAAAAAAACAAATCTTTTTTTTTTTTCTTTTCTAGTACAACTATTAGACAACCATATTGAGCTTCAAAACAAGTTCAAGAAATTCAGGGGGAATCAAGAAACAGGGAAGATCCCAACTTAGGTGGTGGTCGTGCTGAACTCCTGCTTTTTTTTCTTTTTTCTTTTTTTTTTTATATATTAGTAACACACGGATGCAGTAAAATCAGATTGTAAATAGGTATAAAAAAAAATTTATAGTTGTTACAGAGTTAGACAAAGATTCCAATGTCTCTTCTACCAGTCATTCTCAACTACAACTTTAAGAATGCATAATCTATTAAAAGCGTAATAAAGTACTAAATATGAAAAACAATTAAGCCTGCGATAAAGTACCTTTTTCAATCAAGAACTGACAACAGCTGCCAACTGCTACAGGCAAGCATGGAGGAAGTAGTTAGTAGCTTGAGGAGAAGAACAAATTTGGACTAATCAACCCCCAAAAAAACTTAATTGTATTGTCACAGTTGTTGGCAAAGCTTTTTTTTTTTTTTATATTTTATTATATATATATGGTAAGACTTGTAGAAGATTTTCAAGGTGGTCAATAAATGAGTGCATTTAATCCTTTTCTTAAGATGGATTGGTTGGTTAGCAACAAAAGTTTCAATTGAATTGATAATTTTATCTTTAAGTTACCATATCATGCCATGTGTAATGTTTCATGTTTCTCAAATGGGACAAGGTCAGTAAAATTTCAATTCGACGAGCTTCACTGGACGGTATAATCAAGTCTATGAGGGTCTAGATTCCCATTTCACTTGCTAATGTGTAAAGTGAACATTTTCATTTGTCCGTTCGTTTGCTGCAAGTTTTTTCTAATTTCTAGTGAGTAGTAATAATTTGCCTAGCTAGGAGCATAGGACAATTCGGTCCCAATGAATGTATATATATATATATATATATATATATATATATAGTGCATGAAAAATTTTGTTGGGCATTCCTTTTCTTTTTCCATCTTTCCTTTTTTGAGAAGCAAAACAAACTTAAATCACGATGACAACCTCGCAACTCTAATATAAAAGCAGTAGTGTGATGGTGAGGAGAGCAGGTTGGGGTCCTGTCTACAATTTCATGGAAAAGGAAATCTATGCAAGTCTCAACATCCCATGGTTATGAATGGTAGTAGTACCAAGTACCAACCACACCTCTAACCCCAAGCTAAGAAGGGGGTAAAATTATAAGAGAAAGAAAGAAAAATAACTACTTATAGGGTCCGTTTGTTTCGGGTGAAAATGTTTTCCAGGAAAATATTTTCTTAATTTCCCGTGTTTGGTTGCACAAAAGTTACTGAAAACATTTTCCTATGTAAAATATTTTCACTCATCTTATGGAAAACAACTTCCCTTCCAAACTTACTGAAGTTATTTTTCGAAATGCATGTATCCCGTCTGTAGTATGTTCCAAACTTACTGAAAACATCTTGTAATATGTTTTTTTTTTTTGTGTGAACAAGAGGACTCGAACCCAAGACCTCTTCCTTACACTCCTTCCCCCGTACCACCCAACCCAACATAACCCTCCCCCTAGTATATTCAAAATAAAAATAAAAAACTCATCCTGCTCATTCTATGCTAGTAATTAATTATGTATAATAGGGACATTCTTTTCTAGAGAAACTTTCAGCAGTAAGAGTACAAGATATATGTCACAATAAGCATTGCATGTGATTGATATTTGACACTAAATGGCCAGCAATTTGTTTATTGCTTAAGGAGATATTTTTTATTCATATATACATTTCTTCAAGATTTTTTAAAGTTAAATAATGAGATAAATTTTCTTTTTGCATGGGAAGAAGTATGTAGTTATAATGTATAGAAAGTAAAGATAGAAATAAAAGTGAAAATATTTCAAAAGTTAAACAAACACTAGAAAAATGAAGTAAGAAAATATTTTCAATAAATTAACCAAACACTTGAAAATGATGAAAGGGAAATGATTTTCATGGAAAATTACTTTCACGGAAAATATTTTCCCGAGGAAAACATTTTACTTCCAACCAAATAGACCCATAATACAAAATCGAACATGGTAATTTTGTTAATTCTGCGATGCAATTATGTGAAGATATATGTCTCTTTTATAAGTCTTATCTGGGGGTTGCGATGGCTAATAAAAAAGCACTTCTGATACAAGTATTTTTAATAAAAATAAGTGCTTTTAAATTACGAAAAATTAGTTATCAAAAAATGGTAATTAAGCACTTTTGATACAGCAATTGCCTTTTGATTGTATTTTGTGGGATTAATTTAGGTGTTGTTTATGAACTCAAGTGCTCTTTTTGTAGACGCACTATCGTAAAAGCAAACAAACCTTAGTTATATTTCAACTCGTCGTCTACAGTAGTTGGCCTTCAAAGGGCTCCAGATTATAAAGCATTGGATACAATATGCATGAATTTCCTCTATTCTAACTCGGTTAAGCTCTCTCTCCAAGAATGACACGAACAACATCGAAATCCAGCTTTGAGCTATTAAAATTTCCAACTCTTCTTCTGCAATAAGAAAGAACAGATTGAAATGCAGCAATGTTGCTGTTATGCTAGGGTGTATGTGCACGTAGGATCCTGAACTTACAATAACATATTTTAACTCTCATTGCCTCTGTTTTCTAATTATTTCAAAAAAAAAAAAGGCAAAAATTTTGTGTCAAATAAAGCCATAAAATATGTGTAGATGCAAGTTTCATATTATCATGAAAATCACAAACAGGCGTCTCTCTTTCAGCACTCACTATTGCTTAAAAGTAAATAGTAGGAAAAATCATTCAAAACGTTCCTTATACTTTACCAAATAAAATTTTTCGTCCTTTACTTTTAAAATATTAATTTTACGTCACTTACAATTCAAGCTAGCATATTTTTATTCCAATCTAAGTTTCAGACCATTTTTAACTTAAAATCACATATGACCCACATATAGTCATTTTTTATGTACAAAAAGGTTAAATTTCATTTTTTTAGAGGCAAAAATGAATATGAATTAGATCACATCTCGCATTTTTGAAGTAAAATGAATATAATTTAGGTTAGATCCTTCCTTTTTAGGGATAAAAATAATTATGTATCGGGTCACTTATTTAGCTAGAAATGAAATATTACTTTTTTGCCCAAAATAAATGACCATGTACGGGTTACGTGGTGGCAGATTGATGGTAGAAAGTGGTCAAAATCCTAGATTTGGGCTAAATTTTACCAACTTAATGTTATAAGAGATGTAGAATTACTATTTAAAAAGTGAAGGACGTTTTGAACTATTTTTCCTAAAATAAAATAAACAAAAAAAAAAGAGCTTTGCCGCCCTGGTCATTCTAACTGGTGGCATTCTTGTGCCTTATTTTGTTTTTACTCTATTTGTTTCTTTTTCTCAACAAACTCTTGAGCTCCATATGTTTCGATTTCAAAAGGGTGTCCGAAATAGAAATTGCCTTTGTTGAAATGAATCCTTTGAAACGGAATATAGGTGTTCCTAAATTCTTAATATGTTAAAATTATAATTAAATATGCTCTTATCTTTTATTCTTTTATTGTCAATAATTAACCTAAGAGCCCCTCTAAATTGAACAAAAGGAAGATTAAAAAGGATTGTCAACCTCCAGTGGCCCAATTTCAATTCACTCAGATCTAACTTACTAACTACTCCAACCCAAACTCAAGTACTATAAGTGTGATTGCCTTTTCTACTGTAGTTTTTTTTTTTAAATGTGATTTATGTGAGTTAAAATGTAATTAAATAAACAGTCGAGAAGGTTTTTGATCTAATAGTTAACATTGAAATCTTATGAATTCAGAAGGTTTTGATCTAATGGTTAAGATTGAGATCTCGTACCTACCTGAGTTCTAATCTCCTTACTCTTGCCTACTAATTTTTTTAAATAAAAAAGTAATTAAATAAAAAAAATCATTTAAAAATGTGTTAAGCAAATATTTACTATAGAATTTTAGCAAATATTCCCAAAAAATGTTCAAAAAAAGTTTTCCTTAAGTAAATAAATAAAAATGAATTCAAAATGTGTTAAGCAAATATTCTCTCAAGAATTTTCAAAAAAGTTTTCCTTATTTTAGTCGTGACGTTGGAGACCACTAAATATTTGTCCTAAGATATCTTTGTGGGTTCTCTTCTTTTCCTTGACGCTTTGACGACAAAACGTGACGTAATAAACACCTTTGCTCTTCAAATAGAAAACGACACCGTAAGATAACGCTCAAATTGTCCGAAATCTCTCAAAATAAAAATTTGAAAGTCCCAAGTCTCTTTCTCTCACTCTTTCCTTCACTTTCTTCCCACTCACTCTCTCCGGTCCTCTTCAAAGCAAAAAAACTGAAAATTTTCTCTCAACAACATTTGTTTCCCGAATTTTGCTCCTCCAATTTTAATCTGAGGCTCGAATCTGTAATTACAATCGATCTGTGAAATTGTTAAAGTACCATTAAACAATATGTTTGAGCCCCAACATTTGGTAGATTTACAAGATAACCGCTCAGCAACTGCTGCCGCCGGCACGGCTGAACCTAACTCGTGGCTTTCCGGCGACGTTCGCCTCCATCATACGGCGTCGTCCTCTCCTTCTTCTCTGCACCGTACGCTATCTGCGCTCTCCAATGCCTCAGCCGCCGGCAGCTATGACCCTGTCCTCTTTAACGACCTCGTTGAAATGGTCCCCCTCGTTCAGTCACTCATTGTAAGTAATTTTTTGGTTTTTTATTCTTGTTTGAAGTTTAAATCTGTTTTTTTTTTCTTTTTTGCTAATTAATGTGAAGCGCGAGGGTTGAATTTGAAAATTTTGGTTTCGGAAATTATTGTGTAGGATCAGAAGGTGAATCCTTCGTTTACTCGGAGAGGTTCAATGATCTATACCAAGACACCGTCTAGAGAATCACTTGCTCGAAAGGTACTTTGTTTACTTATTTATTTACTTTATTATACACACACACACTTGTATTTGTTATGCATAGTTTTTACTTGCTAGAAGATGATGGAAATGGAATTTGAACTTTAATTCACTTGTTCATCTGTTTTAGTTATGCGTATTTTTCTGCTTTATTGCACTAGTAACTCACTTATTTTGTTGGGGACGTCAAACAGTTGTCTGGTCTGATGGATAAAATTATGGAAGTTCATCATTCGAATTGAAATTAATGTGACTTTTGCATTATCAAGCATATAGTGGGTTATAGATGTACTTACTATTTAGTATTGTGGCTGTGGACTCTGACTTGACCTGTGTTGTAACACATTGGGTAATGGGGTTCAATTATGAGAAGTGAACTGCGTTTATTAAGGATACTGCTAGCGGAGGATAAGCTGCCATATTTGCTGGAGAATAATGAGTGAAATTTTTGGTCAAGTGCACAACCAAGAATTTTTTTTGGAACTAATTAGAAATACTTTGGAAAACACCAACATTTATCATCTAAAAATAAGATACACTTTTTGGGGCTGTTTGAGTGCATGCCTCAGTTTTAATCCTTTGCAATTGGACAGACTAGAAGGTTCTCCAACCTTAGCTCTAGGAATTTTTACTTTTCTAGTTAATCCTACCTTGGAATTTTAGCTGCATAACTTCAGGCTTATCTTCGTAAATGGGCTTGGGGACTGTAAAACTCTTACCATTCCAGACTACTTGCTTGATGCTGAAAAATGCGTTCACTTATTTGTTCTCATTTTGCATAAAAATTTTTTACATCTCTTAATTTTGTTTGCTTAGGATAGTTTCGAGCTTGCAGCACATTAGGTTACGTTTAAAAACATGAAGTGTTAATTATCTTGTTCTTCTATTTATCTTATGGTGGTAGGTGCTCCAACCATGTTGTGAATGATTTCATGAACACCCTAACTGGGATTGGTTATGCCTGCTGATCAGCTTGAAGTCTTAGCACACACAACCCCCCACTTTCGTTTCCTTGGGACCCTAAAAGAAAAATTAAAATGCTTTCATTTTATATGAAGTTTCAAATCTTTGTATGTTCTTTTGTTCATTATACAGTTGGGTTCATGGTAGCCTAGTTTTGCTTCATTTTAGTCGATTTCAGTGGTGATGTTTATGTTTGGTGCAGACAGCTGAAGTAAAGGCGAGGAATGGAGTTCAATCTATTCCTATGAAAAGGAATAAGGACCACAGGAATAACCAAGACAGAATTGCTGACAACTCATCTATGCTTTCAAGGTTATCACCAACAGAAAAGGATATGGAAGAATTGTTGGTTTTGAGAGAACAAGTTCTGGATCTACAAAGGAAGTTATCAGAGAAAGATGAACTTCTGAAGTCAGCAGAGATCTCAAAAACTGAGATTCAGGCCAAGCTAAATGAATTGAAAACTGAAGCAGCAGAAAAGGAGTTTTTACTAAATTCCACCCAAGTACAACTTGCTGATACAAAGGTTTGTTTCTAATGCTAGCATGTGGTGCATAATTAGTTCTCTTATTTTGTTAAGTTTTTCATTTTTCCTTTCTATAGAGTATGGAATCTTTTACTTACCCACAAAAAAAGTATGGAAACTTTCTCATTATCGCCTCTCTAATTGGTATTTCATTGACTCTTGTTTGCCAAAGCAACCTCATAATGGAAGAATCCAGTATGTATATCTTTTTTCCGTTTACAGTAGCTAATTCTCATTTATTGTGGCGTAAATGTAATCTTTGTGGAAAATAATTGCCTTTCTGGGTTTCTTCCTTTTTGTATCAAGAATTTTAAAACGCTGCATGCTCGTAGTTTGTGTAGTTGCACTTTTGAGTACTTAGGTGTTTCTTGCACTCTAGTATCTGTGGTTTTGGTTGGTGTGTGTGGTTGACCCTGGCAAAGCATGTGATCGTCTGGTAAACCATTGCTGACTATACATCTCCTATACAGATTAAGCTAGCTGACAAACAAGCGGCTGTGGAGAAGTTACAATGGGAAGCAATGACATCCAATCAACGTGTTGAACAGCTACAGAAAGATCTTAAAGGGGTGCAAGGAGAAATTTCATCATTTATGCTGGTATTTGAAGGGTTGGCAAGAAACGTTTCTACCCTTTCTGCTAAAGATTATGATGCTGTATCTTGTGCTTCAGATCACAATCCTGATCTTGTAAGTCAATGCCACCTAGTGGTGCTCTCTTTAGTGAGGTTATTCTTGTTGCTACGTGTTATTCAACTCTAATCGCTGTGGTTGTGTTGGGTTGGGAGGGTTGGCATCTTAGACATCTGTTGGTTGCTTTGTTGTCTACAATTGAAATAAATTTCTTTTATACAGGATGACTTGGATGAAATTCAGATGCAAAAACTAGAGGCAGCAAGAGAAGCATATGCCACTGCTGTTGCGGCTGCAAAAGTGAAGCAGGATGATGAGTCTATTGCTGCAGCTGCAAGTGCGAGGATGCATCTGCAGTCGTTTGTTATGAGATCAAAGAGTTCCAGCGGTGGCAAAGGAAATCCAAATGATGGAGTTTCAAGAATTATTGCAGAAACAGTTTCTATTAGCTAATTTAGGTATACCTGCCTGAGGTGATGATTGTAGATTTGGCTGCTTGTTGATAATTAGGGGCATATCGTTCTTTACTAAAGTGTGAGTGAACCATTGCTCGTCATTTCCTTTTCTTCTTGTGCTTTTACTTGTTGAATGGAAACAAAAAATGAAATGTGTACTAATTTGTGGTCAATGTTACTTTCTTGAATAGTGGTTACAAGCCCATAATACACGGTATTATTCTTCTTAACTCTGAGGTGTTGTTCTTTATATGCTTTGGAAAATAATTAGGCGCATTTCGAAAATGTTGCTTAATTTTTTTTTTTTCGTTTAATTTTGTTCTGATCTTGATATAGGTCCTCATCCTTATAACTTTGCATCTGCAACTAATTCGGCAATAACATTTTTCAATGAAAGATCAGAGACTCGAGCATTCTTGTAGGACTCTCTAATGCGTTAAGTGCTACTCCATTCTTTTTTTTGGAATAATTCCACAAACCTCCCCTGACCCTGAGGTTTATGATGATTGTAGGGAGTACCCTCTGGGTTTGAAAAATTACATTAACCTCCCTTAAAAGGTGCGTGCGTTGGGCTCACTTTGCTGATATAAGCAAAACATCCCCATTGATAATCCTGTATCTCCCTTATTTGATTTTTCTCCTTAGAAGTAAAATTCCTATGTAATTTTGAACATGATATATTGCTACATACTTTAAAAGAATTATCTATCGAATTCATTTCTCTTCCCTTAAATTAAAAAAAAAAAATTCACATGGACGAACCAAAAATTGAGTAAGCAACCCAATTTTGTAAGAATTTACAATTTGTTTTCAAATTAATACAATGTTATGTAATATTGGACTGAGGTCATTTGAGTGGTTAGGACAAGAAAGAATCTACTATTCTTTGCTCTGCTTTATTTTTTCTCTCTCTCTTTTTTAACGATTTGTTAACTTTTAATTTTAAAAGTGCATCACATCATGGAGGCGTTAAATTGAGCAAGTCATGAATGTTACTTTTGTGATTTTAACACCATGAAGAGAGGTAGGTGTAATTTTTTAAATAAAGGGTACCGCTTGCAATTATTATAAACCTCAGGGGAGATTTGTGAAATTTTATTCCCCTTTTTGTCATAAAAGTACAATTTCATTTCAATGTTTGCACTAATAACAAAAAGTACATCATACTTGACACAGATACATACACATAACATTTGAAAAATCAATGAACATAAATATTACATTGAAGCTCCAAAAAGATAAACTGGATTGCTATTTTTAGGAGCTTTTGTAGAAAAAAAAATATTGTAGCGATTTGATATACATGAGATAAAAAAGTAATTAGAAAATGTGTTCATGAAAAACGTAAACATTTTTTTGCGAAAAACCACGATCCAAACAAAGTTATTATGTTCAAGTATGTTCCCACGCTTTGGCGCTGTATTTTACTATGTTCTGTATGGTAAACCTTGTTCGGATTCGTTCGTAGACTTACAAAATAAACACCAAGTTTAGTTATGAAATCAGTGACATCCAATGGACTTCATTTGTGCCATTTACATGATTCAACCTCGCGTCCTTGTGGTCGTGAGCCAAAACTCTACTCTGATGGTGTGATATTAGCCTACATATTCCAGTCAATAGACAGTTGAGCAGCTGATAAAGCTAAATACTAACTAAAGAAAATCTTGCCAAAACTCTGTAACATCACTAGCAAAGTTGGATAAATAGAATGTTAATTGTTACCATGAATCTAAAGCAAGAGTATAAAATTTGTGGGAGCTAAATATTGTGATAGACAACTGCGGCCTCTCAGAATCTACAACAATTAAGACGCACAACCCTTGCCTTGTGCTTCTGCAAGTGCACGTCTTCTGGCTTCGGCATATGAACAGGGCTGCCCATCCAATCCCTTCCCAATCTGCACATTGTATCATTACTTCACCCTTGGGATATTAACCAAAATGGTTCAAGAATTGATGTCACTCCACTTGGTTTTTCACCTATTTCACTTACATTGGGAAGGCAAATGAACCTGTGCTGGCATCCGATTGATTGGAATCACTTGATTCAGCTACAGATAACATGGAAGACAAAGTTCTGCATTCATGAGGTCCATAGTGATTAATTTCTTTGATCTCATCAGGAATGCACTCTACTTCTACATCGTTGCTTCCTTCTTCTTCGGCCTGCAGTCTTTTCTTGTTAAGAATTACTCTCACTCTTTGGGTTCAAGGATATTTCCCGAAGAAATTAATTACAGTACTCAAGAATTCTGTGGGAGTAGGTTTATGCAAAAATCGCGGCATTTCAGCCTCCAATAGTATACATCACATTCTTTCTTACAACAATGTGAGTACAAGATTTGGGTGATACATGGTATAACAAGATCAAATGATGAAAACTTTCAATAGTTATTAAATGCTAAACATCATGCTTGTCAGTGCATTAACCATCAACAAATAAAATTTTATAAACATCCGGCCGGATGGATCAGGTTGTGAAGATTGAGATAATCTAATGATTACTTAATTGATGCAATTAAATATTCTTTATTTAAATTACATATTAGGATCCTGTCAAGTTGAACATTGATTTTGATTTGGATGTAAGTTTGTAAAATGTGACAATTAGCAAATCCATGGGGACAGACGAAACCTTACATGTTCATCACAGAGGGCAGTGTCTCCTGCAACATGGCTAGGGATGGAAGTTCCTTCAGCATTCTCACCACAATTCTGTGTCTTTTTTTTTGTCTCGAAGTAAGAAGTTAAGACAATTTAAGACTACTAATTAACTAATTAAAAAAAAACAGCAAATGAAGCAACAGCAAAAAAAGAGGTCAATTGCTGACCGTATCATTTACCCTCCTTGAACGTCTCTTGGCAGGATTAATCGGGCCATGAGATGCCCCTGATGACCTTTTCTCTTTAACCATCTGGATTTCTCCATCATCTGTAAAGCAGAAAACAATGTATTCTTCTTCAGCAAAACTTGACATGCTTGATTCACCCCTCCTATCTTCACTTCTCTTGCTACTGCTTTTTTGCTTAGGATTTTCAGGGGATGCCCTCTCTTGATCTCGGTTCTTTCTTCTTGATTTTTGTCTGCTGGTCTCACTTCTTCTGCTCTCTCCGATAGGGTCGAAAACCATTTTCTTTTCTGGCACTTCATCAGTCGATGTAGAGCAATCCGGTTCATCTTCACAAGATATACAAATAGCCACATCAACCATAAAACATGTCGACCAAAAAAGAAACAAAGAAATAAACGAAGGTACAAATAAAGGTTAAAAAAAAAAAAAAGAGTACCATGTACTATGAAACATGTACTAAATGTATCAAGAATTTGACTGAACTTTTTTGTTGGGATTATCCCTATTGCTTAGGCAGGTGCAGTTGGGGTTGTTTAGCTCTATTTGCTTGTTACCTATAAGAGGAAGCCTGCATGCATACAAACATGCTGCCAAATGCCTTACTCGCCATCTCACAAGCTGCGTAATCGTGGTTGTGCTCATTCTCTGAACCCTTTTTCCTGTTGAAGATAAAATGGTTAGTGGCGAATGAGAAAGATCTATCTATGGAGGAAAGTAGCGATGGAAGAAATGGTGATTTGAATTTGAAATATGGTGAGAAAATGAATTATGCATCAAGCGGAGTTGGTCTGTTTTATGACTCCTCCAACCGTGATTAATGATAGTGAGCCAGTTATGATTTCTTGCTATGGAAACCAGAGTAAAACGTGGAGCCATTACTTGGCAACTGTCCATAAAGGAGCATTGAGCATGCAATGCAAATTTGCTATCATATGTCCTTCCATAATTTGGTTCCACTAATAACTTTCCTAAAAAATTTCCCACAATTTTACAAGTCATTCAATAGCCTACAACGTTAAAAATTTCAAAGGGTTGTTCTTGACACAAAAAAAAAAAAAAAAAAATCCCTTCTACAAGTCTTTTAGTAAAAAAAAAAAAAAATTTGTTAAAAACAAGTCTTTTAATCGAATAAACTGCAAACATTCGAATTGCAAAATATCTGTCCAAACAGTACTGTACAAAAGACCGACCTGTTTGCATATTTTGAGCAAAACAATTTGAACTGAGAAAAGAAAATTCCTGCGTATTGGAATAATCGAGCAGAAATCCATCACGTGACTTGAGTTGGACGTGCACGTGAGCAGCTGCAGTTAGCAAACATCCCTCCCCCGCCAAATCCTAGGTATTTCTGTCTCTGTCTGATTAAATAACTTTACAATTTCTCCCTCATTTTCCTCAGCATTCTCAAAATCACTCAAAATAAAGAAATCAGAATCCCTGAATGCTGACAAAATACTGCTAGGGGGAGTTGGATTTTGAAGCACAGGATTCTTCCCGGGTTGACAAGAATGGAAGAGATTAGCGAAATTGAGGAAAGAGAAATCCAAGTTAGGAGCTTGACAGGTGAATCGATCAGTCTATCCGTGAAACCAAACCAGACCATTCAAGAACTCAAGCAACTTCTCAAGCAAAGTTTCCCTCCTGCTTCTAGTTCTCCCAATTTCCATCTGTTCCTCAAGGTTACCTCTGCTCCACAACCACAACCACAACACCCCCCCTCCCCCGCCCCCGCCCCCGCCCCCCGGCGGGTCTTCCCCAAAACTACAAACCTCACCAACCCTGTCCCATTTTACTCTATACTGGTTCGAATGGTTATATGTCTATTTGTACTTCACTTTTGTCTACTTACTTTTTGAATACATGGTTTTTTTCTCTCTCTAATTTGTAACCTCTGGTAAAGATCAATACTTTCGTATGGTTCACTGTTTGAAAAAAAGCATAGCTTAATAAATGGCATCGACCCAGCAAGAATACAGCACCTGTCTGTTTGGATTGCTTGTATATGGGAATGTGCAGACTTGTGTTTGTGTTGATTTTAATACTTGCGAGTAAAGTTACAGAGAAATCTGAATGTTAATTTTCTATGAAATGGCTGTTGCTGTTCTACATGTAATGGTAATATTTGTTTGTTCTGGTGCGCGTCATTGCGTGCTTTATAATTCTATTGGTTTTATGTTTCGAGAGGTTAATGCAAATAACGTTCTAACTCACCACCTTTTCCCGCTATTGCATTTGGAAAAGATTTATTCTCGCATATCTTATATTTTTTTTTATTGGAATTTATGCATCAGGCTAAAAAATTGAGCTTGCAGAGTCAGATTGGTAGTTTTTCAATTGCTTCTGGGGAATTCTTTGTTCTGGTTCCATTTGCTAGAAAGGATAGGCAGGAAGCCCAGAAACTTGATGAATCTGAGGGGTCCTCAACAGTCCAAACTGAGAGCTTGGTATCAAAGTTAGCTGAGTCAGCATATTCTGACTTAATGCAAGACCTATCTTCTTTGCAGAATGGATCCAATCACAAAAATCATCCAAATGCTGAGGTGGAACCAGAAGGTATGAATGAAGAAACTTGGAACACATCTGATGCCAATTCACTACCAGTCAAACGCAAGAGGAGGTCCATTAATGACGAGAGCCTGGGACATTCACGTGACATTGTACTGGATTTATTTCAATCATCCCGTACTAACATGCTTGATGAAGAAAAATGCAAAATGTTTATACAGATTTTGGATTCTGTAAATTGCTTAAGTGATCCAGTCACAGCAAAATGCATAGCAAAGAGAGGAAATGCCAAGGATCACGAAATGGATCCCCGTACAAATGGGGCTTCTTTGTGTATGTGTCCATCATGGTTGAAGAAAATTATGAAAGCTTTTGCTCTCTTGAACACCTATTCAGCTTTTCTTCAACTGTGGCATATAGGAATTACCTTAACTGGTCTGACTAAAGCACTGGACCACCTTAAGAAATTTGGAAGTCAGATTGGTCTCGCAGACATTGAACATCTTTCTTTGCTTTTCCCCAAGGTAATTCTCTAATTGAAGAAACAATATAGCCGTTGAAAGCACTGGAATTTGTGTTCATTTACTGGATATGCCTTAGCTATGGAAGTCTATTTTTCATCTTTTTGTTTTGTTGTTCGGTAAGGCTCCCTTGTTTCAACTTGACCTAAATGTGAAAAATTGCTTATAGGGATTGCTTCCAAATAAATACTCACGTATAATGGACCCTTTGCCTTTGGGTTCATTGTTCCTTGTGTAGATGCTTTGGTTGCTGCTGAATTTCAGTGGTTTAATGTACACATAAATTTGAAAGCATTCACTTCCTGTTCCCCTGCTTTGTTGTTTGAATGTTTACTTGCATGAGCCTGAGAATTACAGAACTTCTACTAAAGATCCATTTTCATAAGACCAAAACTCCTGATTTCAGAAATTGTTTGTTTGGCCCATTGATCACCTTCTAAAACTTGAAATGAAATAAGTAGCCTACAGCCGTACTTTCTTTCCTACTTATGCTACATTTTTTTGACTTAAATAGTCACCTTGCTAAACTTGTTGCCAATTAGAATTGGACAATTGATCTGATATGGAGGAATCATTATTCCAGCTATTCCAAGAAATCAATTACTCAATGAGTTTTAGTCTATAATTTCTGGCCTTTGTTTTACTTCGAGGATTGAGTTAATCTTATATGATATTTACTGAATGGTATCCTATGATATCTTATTTTAGTTGGTATATTTTGCCTTTAAATCATTGTGACATATGTTGCCTTTGGTTTCTCTATTGTCTTATGACAGAAGTCGTTTCCTTTCAGGTTATAAAAATTGTTGACAAAGAAATAGAGGGTGCAAAAGCACGGAATTCTCTGTTAATCCTGAATGGTTCAGGAGATCAACATGAAATTGAACTGCCTACTGGTAATAGTGAGTACCTTGTTTTGGACTGCCATATTTAAGGTATTTTTACATAGCCATCTGAGATATTTTGTTGGATTTTTCTTTCTTCTGCTCCTTTAGAATCAGCTATAAAGCGTGCGCCAATATTCAAGATCCTTAATGCAATGAAGAAAAGGGAAGATTCTTTCACAGATCATCTGTCGAGGGCTGTCAAGTCATTATTGGTGTGTAAACTTATTTAATTGTTGTACTTGTATAGTTTCTTGTATTATTTGTCTGTTAGAAGCCTGGTGATATTTATTCTTGTGCAAGGATTGGTACTTACAGACAAGAAAATACTGTTTCAGAAGTAAGGTGTTGGTGAACTTTTCCTCGCGTAATTGGACATATTGAGCAACTTGATTTTAAAGTCAAACAAAGTCCAATTATCCATTTCATCATCTATTTTATTCTGGCTACAGAAATCATGATTGGCATATTAGCTACTTAATAAGAAAAATGACGTATTCAGCATTTGTTGTGGATGAACTTAAATTCATTTAGACACACGTCTTCCTTGTTTTTGGTTTCTTTTCTCTGACTTGATTGGAAGTATTTTGCAGCTGAAGAAAGAAAATGATAAGATTAAGTTCTTTTCCTTGGAAGAGCTTCTTATTTCTGCGAGGGAATGTGACACTACAGCAATTGGAAAGGAAGAAAAAAGAGCAGGTCGAAGCAGCTCCAGAAGTTTAAGTTCTCCGTCATTTGAACCACGGTGCCGTGTAAGTTTTAGAAATTTCCCGTCATGAAGGATTGGCTGTTGTTCTTCCTACATTTGTTGTGGTACAACTGTTTGTATGGGATAGAAGTATGTTTGCGTAATAGTGGAGGCATTAATATCTTTAGTAGATCACTCTTGTGTTGGTTATGTCCTTTCATTCATACTCATTTTAGTCAAAGATATGATTCAGTACCAACCTGGTTTACTGCATATTTTGGGGTTTATTACATTGAGGATCAAATATATTGCAATATTCTTACTTGCATGGATGAAAGTATATTCCCATTGTCATCTGTGAGACTTTAGATTTTGGAGCTTTTTGAATTATTTGTTCTTTTCTTTGGAATAGTTTCTGCTTGCCAGTAGGAGAGAAGTTACATAGAATCTGCCTCCTAGAGGAGAAAGTTTTATTTCAGTAAGGTTCTGTCCATGGTGCTAGGGTCATCTTGGGATAGGATCCATATGGCAGTAGATTGCAGGGCCTCGTCATGTAGTAAAGGCATCACTGTTGTACATCAAGTTGTCGTTATCTGGAATCATACTATAAAATAGCAGTCATTTAGTATTTATCACATGTATCACTTTTGATATCCTTTTCTTCTTCTTCTTCTTCTTCTATCTTTCTGGGATTATTTCATTTAACATACATGTGCTGTCTAAAATTTGACATATAAATACATTCAGTTTATTACAAATAAGATAAAAAAGCATTTTGACTATCTTTCACTTTGCAGGGGATGAATCCACTGCTTCCTGTGGAAATGGTGGACCATTTGAAACATGGCCTTGGCTCTCATGGGCAGGTCATCTTTGCTTATTGTCAACTGCTTATACTTTTCCTGTTTATAATAGTCTGGGAAGGGTGGATCAGTTTATGGTACTTGGGATTGAGGTAAAGGACAAAGTATAAAATCTCTCAAGCTAAGTGGATCTGGTGGCATTATATTTCTGTAACATTCCTAATTATCATTGTAGACTATC